CCGCCGCCCCGGCAGGTGTAGCGGCCGGCCCCGCCGCGGACCACGCTGCGCCGGAAGAAGCCCTTGCAGCCCTCGCAGCTGAGGACGTTGTAGTGGAAGCCCGAGGCCTTGTCCCCACACACCCGGCACAGCTCGTGGCCCAACATCTTGGGAGCCGGGCCCTTCTTCCGCTTGCGCTCGGGCTCCTCCACTGGGTCAGGGATGACTGGGGTGGGTGAGCCAAGACAGTAAGATACAGGGGTTGACTTATCCCCTGCCCCTACCAACAGCTGCCAACATGCGTGTCACCCCCACGAGGCGGGGATTCTCACTATGATCTGTTTTCATCCCATTTGTGATCAGATGTGGTTATCTTCTATATTGTGTCCTGATATAAGGATCTCACACGCTCTGAATCCTCACCACGGTGATGTTGTGGGGCAGGGGCAGAGGCAGTTAGGTTAATGAGACCGAATACAATCTACAGGGTTGGGCTGTACCTTGAATCAGTCTCTTATGAGATCTAAAAGAGTGTAAACTAGACGGCAGGAGAGCAGAAGACCTCAGAATGGCCAGGAGCAGGGCCCGTGCAAGGTACCCAGCACCCCTGCGCTACAAACCTCCTCCTCGTCCAAAGGGAAAGATGGGTGGCAGCCTGCAGGAAGATTAAGAGGCGCCAGCCTACAGCTGTTGAAAGTTGACAAGGACCTTCCCAAGGTGTTGAGGGACACAGAGAGGGTTCCCCTAGAGCCGATTCCTGAACCGGGACTTCTAGTCCCCGACACTGTAAGAGGATCAAGTTCTGTTTGTTGATATTTCTGTGACAGTGGCTCCAGAGAACCACACCAGGGCTGAAAGGAAGAGACATGGACATCTAGGAGGATGGTGATCTGACAGAAGAAAAGACGCCTCCCTGGACCCCAGAGGAGGAAGTGCCAGGGAGCACAGGGGTGGGGATGGGGTGGAATGTACCAGAAGGCCTGTCCCCTCCCCATCCTGGTTCTAACCTGTCTACCTTCCTAGAGTCTGCCTTGACGCCCCCACTCCCACTCCCAGGCCCTGGGCCATGTCTCACCCACACTGCTGGCAGAGCCTGCCCCATCGGTGCTGGGGACATCAGGGTCCACACCCCCGGGCCAGGGCTCAGAGCCCTCCTCCTTTATAGCAGGTGAAGAAGAGGGGGTGCTGTGCTGAGGGGGGCCATTTCCTGGGAGAAAGAAAATGGGGCCCAGTGAGCACCTCTTGCCCAATGGAGGTGTTGGGGGAGGAAGGGGCTGGGGATGTTGGCAGACACTCACCAGGCAAGGGGCTGTCCGGGGAGCTGGTGGTAGGGGTGGCCATGGTTGGGTCACGGAGCAGCCTGCAGGACAGAGAGGGATTAGGAGCCTCGAAAGAGGCCCTGGTGGCACAGTGGTTAAGCGCTTGGGACCCATCAGCGGCTCTGCAGATGTGGCAATGTGCTTCCCTCAGAAGCCCTAGGGCTCAGTTCTACTCTGTCCTACAGACTACCAGTCGGAATTGACTCAAGAACAGGGGATCTTGGGTTCTTGTGGGGTCACCAAGGGTTTCCCAGTAGTTAGATGTACTAGTCTCTCACCCGCTCCTTCTGTCTCTCCCACCAAAAAAACACTCAGTCCATTCCCACTCTTTGCGACCCTGGAGGGCAGGGTCGAACTGCCGGGGTGAGTTTCCAAGCCTGTAACCCTCTGAGTATCGAAAGTCTTGTCTTTCTCCAACAGAGCTGGTTTCAAACTGCGGACCTTGCAGTTAGCGGCCCAAGCATAACCACGACACAACCGGGACGAGGGGGATCGCTCCCACACTTCTCACGCATTCCATCAAGACTCCACTTCCAGCTTCCCCCTTCTTATCCGCCCATACAATTCTAACAGGCCCTGCCCCTTTTGCCGGCCCAGGCTCCATCCCTCTCCGCATCCCACCAACCAGCTCTCTCCAAGCCACGCCCCTTCTGCTCTAGATCCCACCCCTCCTCCAATCATGCGGTCTTCACCCCACCCACTCTGACTCACGTGCCACCTCGCCTCTTTCTGCCCCCACCTGTGCCTTCTACCGGTAGATGCTACGGACCCATTCCAAGTTCGAATTCCAGCTCCAGGGATCAGACCCGTCCCCCACCATACTACTTTAAGGCCCACCCCGGCCGAACACATCCCTCTAAGCCCCGCCCACCACCTCCCTCTAGGCCCCACCTCAGCCCCCTCAGGTCAGCCTAGGCTCCCACCTCCCCTCCCCCCACCCCCATCAGGCTCCGCCTCCACACCTTGCTCCAGGTCCCGCCCCTCTCCGAGCACCAGCGGGGGGCGGGGCTCATGGCTGCAACCTGGGGTCTGGTGGGCGGCTTGTCGCGGGGAAGGGGGGGGGTCTCCTGTTCCCGTTGCCCTGGAAACAGCCGAGGCGGGGCTAGTTACAGAGAGGAGGGGGCAGGAGGAAAGAGGGGGGTGAGCCGAGCGGGGCGCGGAAGGCCGGGAAGGCGCGGGCCTGGGGCTCCTCCCGCGCTCGCCGACCCTCGGGCACACCTGCCTCGGTCCCTCTTCTCTGCTGCGCTTCCTCCTTCCCTGTATCTCCCCGCACGCCGCCACTGCTCGGGTCCCCTAAAAAGTAACTTCGCCACTTCTTCCGGCAACCCCGCCGCGCGTCACTTCCGGAGGGGGCGGGGCGGGCCGATGACGGATTTCCGGTCTTCCTCCGACCGGCCGGTTCGGATGCCCCTCTTGGAAGTGACACACCTTCCGGAAGGTTGCGATTGCCAAGTCGCCTTCAGAGGGTAGGACCAGGGGGGTTCCGGGCCCCGGGCGATAAAACTTGGTCCTCGAGGGGGCGTGGCTAGTCCCCAAAGTTCCCGCCCCGCGCACCTGCGTGGCGTTAGTGTTCCCCTGTGCCAGCTGCAAAGATTTTTTTTCTGAACATAAATCGACATAGGTGTTTTTGCCACCAGGACGTGGCCGATTGAAGGCATTTTTATCCCTTTTTGCTTGGTAGGAAGTTTTAAGAGTTTGGAGATGTGCACCTCATTGGGTTTCAATACATGACAAATTTGGACCTAGAAGATATGTCTTTAAACGACTTAGGAATTGACTTTTAAAAGAAGTTTTATTGGGACATGATGAACACATACAATTCAATAGTTCAACCATAACAAGAAGTAATTGAGACTCTTTATTATAAAGACATCTCCCTTCCCCACAAGAATCATAGTAGCTCTAGAGAAAATTTTTCAAATGTAAATAAGTAGATGAAATTTGTTCTCAAAATCTACCTCCTAGATCTGTATATACAATCATGACGTCTGTGGATATAATCATCACAGAATGTATATACATCTATGAGGCTATTGGACCCAAATTCATGTATAACTTGTGTTGTCCACTTGATAGAATATTAAAATTTTCCTTTTATGCTCAGCAAGCGCCCCACCCATTCCCGGCCTTTGAGGCCATGGAATTTTCCACCCAGACAATTCCTATTAGAGCAAAGTGGTGTGTGTGGAAGTACTGGCGTGACTAACAAAGTGTCTCTGACGTTTCCTTGTTGTGTAACCTTTTGACAAATTACTCAATCTTCCTGTGCCTCCATTTTTTTAATCTCTAAAGGAGGAGCAAGAGGCAGTGGTGTGAACAAAACAAGGAAATACTCATACGCACTACCTTGGAGTGAATGACAATTCATAATGGCCCTGTGGGACAGAGTAGAACTGCCTCTGGGACTATCTGAGACTAACACTTTACAGGGGTAGAAAGCCTCGTGTTTCTCTCTCAGAGTGGCTGGTGGTTTTGAACTGCTAATCCAGTGGATCACAGCCCAAAACAGAACCACTACGCCGCCAGGCATCCTAAGGGACTACTGCATAGTTTGAAATCAAGAAAGGTGTGCATCAAGGTTGTATCCTGTCACCATCCTTATTTCATCTGTGTGCTGAGCAAATAATCAGAGAAACTAGATTGGTGAAGAAGAATAAAACAGCAGGGCTGGAAGCTTTTTAACCATATTCAATATGCAGAGGACACAACCTTGCTTGCTGACAGTGAGGACGACATAAGGCACTTGCTGATAAAGGTCGTGGATGGCAGCCTTCAGTGTGGATGATGCAATGTCAGGAGGACTAAAATCCTCCCAACTGGACTAACAGGTAACAGCATGATAAACGGAGAAAAGATAGAAGTTGTCAGGTGTGTTGTCTGGGTAGACTAGAGAAACAAATTCATAGATACTCTTATGGGTATAAGAAAGAGCTTTATAGACAAGAGCAATTGACTATTGAGAAAACATCCCAGCCCAGTCCAGATCAAGTCCCTAAGTCCGAAATTAGTCCATATGTCTGATACCAATCTATAAAGTCCTCTTCAGACTCACAAAACACATGCAACGAGGCTGATTGCAGGAAGATCACAGGCCAGTAGGTGGAAAGTCTGTGGATCCAGTGGCGGTAGAGGCATCTCAGCACTGGCTGAGGTCTCCAAGTGGCTCCTACAGCTCCAGGGCTCTAGCGTAGTCCATGTGTCTTCTCAATAGGAATGTCTTATGTCCCCCTCCAGGGAGCTATTTATCTCCCTAGCGCCTCCAAATGAGGTCATCAAGCTGCTACCTGATTGGCAGGCTAAATCCCACCCCTTCACTCTTTTTTTTTTCCACTCTTAAGTCTCAAATTGACAACAGATGATGTAACTACCACATCAAGGATTTCATGTTCCTTGGACCTACAACCGATGCACATTGCTTTGGATAAATCTGCTGCACAAGACCTCTTTATTTTGTTTATTTTGAATCATTTTATTGGGAGCTCTTACAGCTCTTAAAACATTCCATACATTGATTGTATCAAGCATATTTGTATATATGCTGTCATCATCATTTCCAAAACATATTCTACTTAAGCCCTTGGTATAAACTTCTCTTTTCTCCTCTCCCTCCCCCAG